CACGCCTTTCGCTCCATCTTTCCACCCGTTTTCGTTTTTACGGCTCGTTAGCGATCCTGCCGACGTATCCCACCCCTGCTCGCGAAATAATAGTTCACGTGTACGAGTCGGGCCGCGTTTGTGGTTGTCGCTGCATTTTTTTTTCTCCCTTTCCTTTCTTTTTTTTTTTTCTCAAAAAAATTGACAACAGGCGTGTTTCGAAAGGAGGAAAAGAGAGATCGGGGTGGTGATCTGTTTTATGGAATTTCGCGAGGAAGATGAGTTTTTTTGCCAAATATTCGGGAGAAGGGTGATCAAGACGTTTCAGAATGCCATCTCCCTGTGACGTGTGAGAATAGAAATAACCTTAAGGTTCGTTAGAGCGGGGGAGGAGGGGGGCGTTATACTTAATGTCATGTCGGCGAGGCGGCATAAGCAACCGATACCGCATTAAACATGCAAATTCGCCGGTATAACGTTCCAGGGATCCAAGGCATCATCCATATAGCGGCAAGTGGCGCATAGTGTTCATAGTGAAGCGGCATGATTAAATTTCCAGGGATATCGACATGCCAGAACCACGTCAACCCCTTCCACTCTCCGCCCCGCCATATCTCGCCACTCATATCCCTCCGCATCTCCTCCTTTTTCGCTTCTCCACCTATCCACGTAACCCCCTCTCCCTCTCCCTCTCTCCCACGGCTCGAATCCACCAATTCTAGCTTCTGGCCTCAAAATTAACTGCGCCCGGAACGTTAGAATTGCATTCGTATGTATATTCCATCTTTCTTGAAACCTTTCGTCCCTTAAATAATTTTCTTCTGCAACTTTGCCTCGAAAAATGAAAGAACGAAGAAAAAACGTACGACAGGGATTTTGAAATTTCAATTAAAGACACAAGTTACAATAAACGTTCAATTGGTATCTACGATTCGATAATTGATTAGTTATTTTTTTCAGCATTTCTTCTTCTCTTCTTCTTCCTTCTTTCTTTCTTTATTTTTCGAAACGGAATCTCTTATCTCTGCTTTGTCCATCGTGGACATCCTTTTCTCCAATGATAATTCAAATATATATATACACGTAATTCGCGACGATAAGGGGCCTATTATTAGCCGGTTTCCAAGCCAGAGAGATCTCAATGGGCGGATAAAAGAAAGTCTCTCGTGAGTCACAATTGTCAATTAAGGTGCGCGCATACGGAAACGAGGCCGGTGAAGGGCCTTCGCGCGGCAGATCGGATTTGTCACGATTCCTAATGTTGATCGACGCTGTAATAATTTAATAGCCATACATCCGCCGTGATCGTCCGGGAGAGAGGATTATTATTGCGGATCCCTGCGGTATACCGAAAGCACTAAGGAGCTAACAGACTTAGCTCTCGTATCGTGTTTCTTCCTTCCTCCATAGTTCTCTCCCTTCTTGAATTATCGCGACCAACCATTGCTGGCGATCAAAAACGCGTCTACGTTGTAACGTGCACGAGGCAAT